CGAGGTCGTATATCGCATGGGGGGCGGTGGGTGGAGACCATCGCTGTAATTAGTTAGTAGGGGTTAAGTAGGACCTGTACTGTCGTACAGCATTTTGATTACCGTAGTATAATGGGTATGTATGAGAGAACTTGACGTAGCTTGGCTTTACCATTATGCGTGTGAGTTGTCGTGGTTAAGCGATAATAATGCCTATCAAGGTTAATGATTTTTAAAACTCCCCACAAATATCACTATATATACTATAATTGATACGCTGCTATCCCTTGTTTATCTTAAGTTATTTATCGATGAAATCTTTGTTCTCAATTTTGCTATGTAAAGATTTTTGAGAGCTAGCGAAAAATGATTTCAGCCACCATTTTAAAAAGTTGTTAACTACCACAACTATTTTGCAGAATATCGGCATAAGTTGCCGTTCAACAATTGCTTTAATTTCATCTATCCATTCCTAAGAATGATAGATAGTTTATCGTCAAGCAAGCTTTCCAATCATGCCACCTCACACATTTGAGCTCCGAATATTGGCATTTTTACCGATGAATGCAATGATGATCGCCTTCTTTGCAGATCGAAAGCAGTGCGAAGTAAGTGGACCTTGATTAATAGAAAGCAAAAAGGATCATCAGTACTTGAAACTTCTCAACTAGCAGATGGTCTTAAAAAAAGAAGAAGAAGATGTCTCACATTGTAGGTGTACTTTTTTCTTTCTACCTCTTTTAGTGATACCTCCTGTGAACCCGTAGCCCCTAGTCGTAGAAATATGATAATGATACATATGATGGCATATAACCTTTAACAGATCTTTGTTCTTGTTAGTTGGGCAGTGTAAATATAATTGATTGCTTTTCCTGAGAGATTTTAAAAGTTCTTTATTATTAGAGCGCTTTAGTTAACCTTCTTAAATATTGGAGAGACAATGAGTTAAAGTTAAATCACATAATTTTTGAAACTTTATTTTAACATGAAAAGCTTATAAACTGTGGCTGTGGATTCCTTATGTTCCTTTCATTCAATGCAGTATCGTTGAAAGTAATGATATGCCATGGAATGGATTAATGTCATCAGTCAATGAATAAATTGGATTGTGTATCCAAATATATCGCCTTGGGGTTCTATTCTTCGTTTCTTCTTTAATTTGAATTGTTTGACCATCGCCAACTCCAAAGTACAATTACGGCATCAATTGAATGTTGCTAAGGATTTTTGTCAAATGCTTGCTACAATACTTGGCTACTTGCAAATTAAACTTCACGTTGTCTTTGGTGAGCAGAATGAAACTCGAATTGAAAGAATTTTGATGAAAATTCAAAGTGTTCCTTTTTCCTATTGCTACATAGATATATACTAGGCTAGAAAGTATTGAGCCGTCACATTAAATATATCTTCAAATTCATGCTCAACTTTTCTGACTTTTTTTTTTTTTTTTTTTACTAAATATTGATATTTTTTTATTAGGCACAAATAACATTTATTTGGCCTAAAGCTGGTACGATTGAAAACACATCAGCTAACTACAAAACGTAGATTTCCCACATAAAACAGGAAAAAATTGCTTTTTCCTTTTGGTTTATTTATTTACTCATTATTTTTTTTGCTTTTTTTTCTTTTGGTGAGCATCCCAAAGGACATGTTTCGCTTGAAGGAATGAATGACTTACTCGCGAAAACTTCACTCCTATTATGATCGAAACAAAATTCGATTAAAAACAACAACATATATGCGTGCACGTACGAAAAGCAAACATTGTTTGCAAACATCGGAACAATGCGCGACACGAACTTAAGAGTTGCAAAGAGGTGGTGATGAAACAGCAACGTTGCTGCTTAAATTGCTTAAGGAAGGATGGTTAGATAGGGTGGTGGAAGGAAAAAGTCGCAGTTCCTCCGTTATTCGTGGTCTTGTTCTGTTTTTGTTTCATCGAAATGTAACTAAACTTTCATGAGCAACATTTTACGTGTTTGGCATTCTATTTTCGCTGCACGCCTAGTCGTTTACGTTGTTTAGGTTTGTTCGCCCGATGATGGACGACGGATGGTTCGTTCGTTCGTTCGTTCAGTTTGTAAAATTTTTTTTGTGTTTTGTGACGATTTCAATCTCTCGCAGTTAGTAGCTAGCTAGTCACCGCCAACCAACATTTACTATCTATATGTGTTTGCTTATATGTTGTTGCCTGTCGTCCTCTATCGAAAAGTATTACTTTGTTACAGTGTTAAATGAGTGCACTAGATATATGGAATTGTATCGAAGGGTGGTGGTTGGTTACGTGCACATACACACATCGTCATGCAAAATGTTATTAAAATAATAATAAAAAAAAAAAAAAAAAAAAAACATTTTATTCAAACATATGTTTCAGTTATGAGAGTTGCTTGCCTGTGTTGCTTGCTAACTTTTCCTTCTTTAAGATACACTTGTGTAAGCATTATAATATATATATATAATATATATATATAAAAAAACTTATGAAATTTTCTGTTCACCTCTCATAAATACAACAATAGCGTACAATTGTTGTTTAGCAACTGAATTATTATTATCATTTTGTGTTTCGTCGTCGCTTCGTTATTTATAAAGTAAAGTAAGTATAATAAGTAAGTAAGTGTTGTTGTCTCTCTGTGATACTACGGTTTTTTGTTTGAAGATGTATCTGTGTTTGCATGTGTATGTATATCATTGAGTGACTTGCTGCCAGTTTTTAAGCTCCCATTCACTCGGGCCAACCAACGAACCAAACAACCAGTCTCAGCTAAGACCAAACAGCCAACCGAGTAATCTAACCATCCATTTCATCCGTCCATCCATCCATCCACCGAATCTACCATTCATTCAACGGTCCAGTCTCTAGCAGTCATACATCGTCATTATAACGAAGAAATCCAGTTTCTTGTGCGTTCTGTGTTCAATTTTTGCAACTGTGTGTCTCTCGCACTGCTTTCAATTCGTTTCATTTATTCGTTTATTATTTGTTTGTTGTTAATTTCGTTGAATTTGTTTGTAAGACATTACACACTAAACTCTCATCAAAATATCATATACCGTAACATTGAAACGATACCATGTTTGGCTGATTACAATAATATATATATAGTCAAAATCGGTCGATTAAAAGAAAACAAAAAAAGTGCGCTTTAAGTAAAACTTTGATTTAAATTTGATTTTTAACTCTATTGTGCGCGACGATATATGTATTAAGTGATTTATACTTTTTCAGATATGTGAACAATAAAGAAGGCATATTAAAAGTATTAAGCCAAGTATAAATTTCATGTTTGTGTGCAAAGTTCAGAGATTAGTAAACTTTAACAATATTCTGAAATACAAGTGGTGCCGGAAAATTTTGGGTCAGTCCATCGATAAATTAAACGGAATATTTCCTTCTTTGTTCTTAGGCGAATCTACGCACACAGCTAAAATCAATATTTATAAGAATTTTTGGGAAGTTTTAATTTGCCAGCCTATCAAAGTAAGTTTCACGTCAAAGCTCTAAGTATATGAATTTTGATAAATATTTAAACCGATGTTTCCTAAGTGCTCCTAACTGCAAAGAGAAGTAAGTTTAGTAACATTAAGATTGACCGTCAAGCTTTACATTACTGTAGGCATGCTTTTGGGCAGACGGATGTCTGAAGTCACAAGTTCATGTAAACAGTTTCTCATATTATTTGCGACCTTGTAAGCTAGAGAAAGAGACATCGAACGGGCGGTTGGGTAAACTTGATCAAATTAACTGAAAAGCTCATATCAACTGTGTAAGATGAAAGAATCTTTTAAATTTGCCCATATATACATATGCGTCGATTAGGAGCCATGCCATGTTTTGAATCGATGTTAGATTGCTTACCCGTCCGGCATGTGTACGTTAGTTTATATTCAAGCTTAAGGTTGAAATTCTCGAAATATTTCATTAATACATTTTTCTCAATGCACCAGCGGTATTGGAAAAATTATTAAGGGGCAATTCTAAAATTCCCGTATTATTGGGTTGGTAATTAAGCTTTTGCATATTTTTTAAAACGATCATAATCAATTCTGAAACGACATAAAACCATCGCCGAGATACCGAAAAATGGATGCTTCCCTATATCCATCTTTAGCGTTTGTTTTATGTTTTATGAATTTCTATATTTTCACAAAATGCAATATGAAAGAAGAAATTATGAATAAAATATTTTTAGCTTTCTCTTGATTTTTTAATTCGTCCGGATGATTGATGCTACCACAACCCCCATATATTGTCGTTGGGCGAATTAAATTTTTCAAAACTTAGCTACTTTTCAAAACGGAGCTACTTTCGACCCAATGAAGAATTTAGAGAATATTTTTTTTATAGTTATGTACGGAATACCAACATTCACATAAGCTATAGTCTTGCTGTGGTTGGTTATGCGACGTTATGGCTTTCTATTAAGTAAAATCATCACGATATTTAACCTCCTCGACAATACGATATTAGATTGAATTCATCTTAGGCTAGGTACAGTTTACTAAAAAATGTTGCCTCCGCCTGTGTGACCGAGTAGGCAAGAGACTCAACTAGCAATTCAATGGTCGTGGGTGCAAGTCTCAAGTTCGGTAGAATTTTTAATAAAAGCTGAAAGCCTTAGTTGCTAGTGCTTTAAGACTTTAGTCCTAGAATTTATTCTCTGGCGAAATTTATAATAATAATAATAATAATAATAATAATAATAATAATACTTATAAGAAAAAAAAAAATGCTTTGGCCAACCAATTGGAGCACTTGCCTACTTTCCAAATTGGATTTGATTTTTTTAAGCGGATTTATGTGAAGCAAATGTTACAAAGGATTCAGGGGGGTTTTCAAGGGTTTCTCGTATTTCCTTTCCGCTTTAGCTGAACTGTTTTGATACCTGGCAGTATTTTTCTGCAATTTTTTTAGTTCCTTGTATTCGGCGAATATACATATACATATATATATAAATATTGTTAATAAATATTTCATTGCAAATTAATAACCTGAGGGTATTCTTTCCTTACAGATAAACGTAAGAGACTGAGCTGTGCTCCACTTCCTTATTCGTCGAAAATCTCGAAATCCAATTAAGACATTAAGAAGGGCAAAAAAGAATTGCAACCGAACTAATTTCAAAGTATATGATGAGATCCTTCAAAAGCGTGTATTTCGATTAGCGAGCTCGAGAATTCCTACGGAAAGCTAGATTCTTTCCATTTTGCCCATCTTGAGCGTGAGAACGAGACACGTTAGCATTTGATTTTAAAAGGTCAGTTGTTGTACCTTCTCTCTATTGCACAAATCTAGAAGTAGTTATGCGCTAAAGCAGTGTCTATGAGAAAGGGGAAGAAATTGCGCGGTTGAGGAAACACTTAAACACAAGTGAACCCGTTAATAAAACTCTGTATTTATGGATGCAGGAGGTCTTCCAGTATTTCAGAGCGCCAATCAGGCAGCTGCCCAACAACAACAGCAGCAGCAGCAGCAGCAACAACAACAACGGCATCATCAATTGAGTATACAATTGCAACAGCAGCAACATTTACAACATCATCAACAACAATTGCAGCAGCATCAAAGCCTTAACTTGCATTTGCAGCAGCAACAACAGCAGCATCAACAATTGCAAGCAAGCCAACAGCAACAATTACATAATGTCCAACAACAGCAACAGATACAAGTGCAACATCAACAGCCGCAGCCGCATCGTCAGCATCAACAACAGCAGCAACAACAACAACATCAACAGCAGCATCAGCAACAGCATCAACATTCACCCTACAATCCGAATGCTGGAGCAAACCCAACGGCAGTTGGAATTGTCGGCGGTCTCGGCCATGGCGGCAACGGAAATGGCGGCTCTGGAGCGGCAATTGCAAATGCGCAAGCTTTGGCAACACAACATCAGCAACAGCAACAACAGTTACAACAGCATCAACAGCAGCAACAACAGGCCGCGATATCTTCACCCAATAGCACTGTCGGTATTGTCGGCGATATGCCAAATAAACGTCAATCTGCGACATTATCCGAACGGCTTCAACGACGCATCGCGAACTATAGACGCCATCAATCCGATTGTGCGCCCCGCTATGAACAAACGTTTAATACGGTTTGTGAGCAACAGAATCAAGAGACCGCCGCCTTACATAAACGTTATCTGGAAGGCAAAAGTAAACGTACCGCCAAGAAAACTGAAAAGAAACCTACCGAGGCTGCTACAACTATGCTGAGCGGTAATTTACAAAGCAGCGTACATGTGGTAAGTTAAAGCATTTTTATTTCACTATATTTCAGTTTTAGTGAGAGATATTACTGCTCCGAATAACATTATCAACTAATTTTATGTTTACTATAATGGAAAGGCCTCTAAGAAGCATTACTGTCGCCAGTTGTTTCTTTCCCCCTACTACTGTTCATAAAAATTGCTAAAAGGATGATGTGGTCTTAAATGTAGAAAATTTTCATAATTGAATTGCCAATGGATTCCAAAAAGAAATTGTCCATCCCGATCGGTTGCGTATGCTAGAAAGGCCTATCGATTGGTATATGTTGTTCAAAAACACCTTGAAAGGTTTAACTCCTTCAAAGAACTCCTTTGCCCTTTGACTTTGATGAAAGTCAACATTACAGACCCAAGATTGTGTTCAAAAGTAGTCGATTGATCATTAGAGCCATCTTTCCGGATGTAATCGATGGATCATTTGGGCCTTAGACGCGGCTCACGACAACGCATGTTCTGGTGTTGTTTTTTGCTTTTGGGAGAAATTTTCTTTAAGAACTTCTGCCTTGCATGTGACAATGCCGTCCACCCCCCTTTATGTAGGATTTCTTCTAGTCTTACCTTTGAATTGTCTTGATCGTTGCTGCTCCCTTCTAATTGGACTTTTCTCGTTGCAGAGAATTGATGTTGAATTAAACGAATTATTTTTATTCAGAATCGTTAGTATTTATCAAGAGAAACGTGATTTGTTTTCTAAAATTATTTCCTGATTTTTTTTTTTTTTTTTTTTTTTTTTTTTAAATTTTGGTTTTTTTTTTTTTTTTTTTTTTTTCGTTTTCTTCTTCTATTCAAGTGACTATTGACGACGTAAATGTCAATTAAGCACGTTTTCGGACTAAAAAAAAAAAAAAAAAATTTACCTTTGTGCTTATCTTTGTTTATATTTTCAGGGAAGAAATGTAGTCTCGCTATTCTAGGTTTAGAGGCGGATTTTTCTACTCTACAACTAAAGTTGATTATAGGGTTTAAGAGGAGAGTTTTCGTTGATTTCATTTTGAATTTCGAATTGTAGGGATTCTGAATTCGCTATCAAAGACTGATGTGTTGCGTTGTCACATGAATTGAAAACAATTTCTTTCTTTTTTTTTTTTTTTTGTCTTTTGCATTTTCAAAAGGCTTTTAGAGGCAATATAGTATAACCGCAAATTGAATTACAATAATGTCTATTAAAAGTTTTCAATTTGTTAATAGAAAGTCATTGCTATAAGGCTGTTGTTATTGCTGTTGTTGTTCAGCCTAATCAAATAAACACTCAACTAAGAAACGGAATAAAAAATCACACATGTATTGATTTTCTTACGCTTGATAAGCATAAATATGCAGACCACCCTAAAAACTCACGTCAGCCACATACACTCACATTGAAGATATAAGCTCGTTACAGATTTCGACATACAACGAAAGTCTTCATACCGTTACGAATGTGCATGAGTTTAAGGCAGGAGTTCGCAACATTTTTGTATGATTTCATCTAAGCGTTGGTAAAGCATTCGCAAACATCTCATAGCATTTCGTTAAGGGGCTTAGTCCAATATAATCCACTTAAAGCTTAGTTCAAGTACAAAAGCAAATGTTCCTTAACGTCTTCACTAGGATGGAGATCACCAGGATATGGGGATGTTCCGTTTTCAGTACACGCTAAAAGATATAATAACTTGGCATCTATCCATTTCTTGTAACTATAAATATTCAAAGAGTGAACTGCTTCATGCAAAAAAAAAAAAAAAAAAAAGATTTCGTTTTAAAATCTACATAACGTGCGTAATGAATATGAAACAGAAGTGCGTCATGAATTTTACACATGTTTTGATAAAACGTGTAGTATTGATTTCTCGCGATAAAAAAAGTTCAAAATTTTTCATATCATTATGCAGATGCGTTCCAGCTCCGGCTACGAGACATTAACTAATATATAACCATCTTGTCAGCATACCAGGTAAAGGGTGTTTCAAACATCATTACATCATCATCGCATCAAATCGTAACAACAATGGTTAGCCTTACTTGAAAAGTTGAACTGTGGCGTACAAATCTATTTTAGCCTGCACTGAAAACGCTATACATAGCAGCAAACGTGTTAAGAGTACCACGAATGCTTTGAATTCTTCCAACTGTGATTCATCAAAGGCATTCCAATGATTCTTTATCTGTTACGCACTTGGTATAGTTTTTCTTGATTAGTGCAACATATCGTATGCACTAAAGTCTGCTCATATGCATCTTTATCTGCTTTCTTGTGCTATACTTGAAACTTGTAGAAGTGCAAATAAAAGTCAACATTTAGAGCAGCTTTTTGCCCTCACTTCACGCCGCCATTACTTAATTAACAGATTTTTTCGATTCATTTATGAAATATGTTGGATTTGCTACGACATATACTTTAAGAACACCAGCTAAGACAAACACAAGTTGTTTTGGGGTCCTCTAGGTAAAAACATACAAATCCCTGACTACATCTCTTTGGCGTCACGGAAAAGGATTTACTTGATCAAGGTCGTTTAACGTAGGCTGAAAAAGACCGTTCTTGCTGAGACGAATAGTACTGGACAGAGTTGAAGACATTTTGGGTACACCAGCTAAAAGTGACCGTTTGCTAAATCATTTCATCAATCATTTCATCTTATATAGGAAAAGCACTTTCTTTTTTTTTATCCATTTTAAATGTTTACCCTTTCATGGTGTATGCAATCCATCATGGGGAATCACAAATATTATTTGCTCAATAAAAGATCGCTTAATTATAAGTTATGTTAAATGCTTACCCCACAATCAAAGGAATTGGTCCATCTACGTTTCAGTCATGAATGTCTCTGACATAATCACTTCCTTAGAATGCCTGATGTCATTTTAACTTTAACATGATAGCATATGTTTAAGTGTCACTGAAGGTTAAAATATAGGGGTTGAGTTGGAAGTGTTTTAATCATTCTCAGGTTGTTCAAGTAATTATTTGGTAAGTCATACTTACATTTATTGCACGCACATAAGCATATCGTACGTAACATGCATAAAAGCTCTTCCATTTCAATTTTTATAAGACTAAAATTATTTCCTTTTTTTTTTTTGTTCTCTCTCTCTCTCTTCTTCTTCTTCTTCTTCTTCTAATAATGAAATTATTTATGTCTACATGTAATTATGTGTGTTTGTGTTAGCAATTCTATAGGTTTATTAAAGTGCATCGAGAAAGAGAGTTAGAGAGACAGAATTAAATATAAATTTCCATTAAAAACCAACAAAAGAAACGCTTGCTAAAGTCAAATAATATTACAAAGTAACCGAAGACACTGAGGAGGAGATAGGAACGGAAGATGAAAATAAAGATAAAAAGGAGTTAGAAGGAGTGAGAATGAGATTGAGAGCGTGAGAGAGAGAGAGACGCAGGAAGAATGAAAAATTTACATTTACTCCTGGCTAACAGTAATAATGTAACTTGTTCATGTGTTTCTTAAAGTTGCGTGCAAGCCATTTATCTGCGCCTGCCATATATATGCCCTTAAGTCTGTATATGCCTTTAAGATCATAAAAGGAAAATATTTTCTAAAATAGCTTTTGTCATGATATCTATTATATTATGAAACTATAAAAATATGGAAAATGGAGAAAGTTTTCAATATTAAATTCAATGGCAAACGCCATTGTATGCATTTGCTATTGCAGGAGTTTTTAATGTCTTCAAAATTCACTGATGAATGTCATTAGATTATATTGAACGCCTTTTCACATGCCCATCTTTCTACTGACGCGTAAGCAAAAAAAAAAAAAAAACAAACCAAAAAATATTCGTTTTGTATTTAATCCTTGAACATTTGCATGCTTGGCTACGAAATTCATCACGCATTATGCGCCAACATGCACAAGTGCTGCTAAATTTTGGACAACGTTTTCATCATCCATTTTGAAGTATGATCTCGATGGGCCAATTTGTTGTTGTCTGCGTGAAACTATTTCATGCCAAGTTCCTCGTTTTCTTAATTCTTTTATTAAATGGTTTTCGAAAAAATTTTATCTAGACAAGCCATCATTGCATGAAAGTTAAAAATCGGGTTTGATAATCAAGAGTCACAAACGAACATCTTGCCATCTTGGATTTATAGACCTTATATGGTGTCTTCGTTTCTAATATGTCAAAGATACATGAAAATTGCCAGGACATTCCTATAGATATTGTTAGGTTGCTATAATCCACCAAGTTATTTTACTGTCAATGCACGAGGTTTCCAGTCTGTGATGGAATTGCACCAAAAAGCTTGTTAAGCTTCTTTTTCTGAAAATTCTTTCAGTTTGTGTGCATTTCAATTAACTCTTTCGTCTCATAATTATATGCGGCATGTCCGGATTGCCTTAATAGTAAGACCTTTATATATATCGGAAGTTTACATTTTCGTGAAGCACCGATCACGTATCGTAAGCCATCGTTCCCTAAGGTGAGGTTCCAAACCATAGCGCTTAATATGAATGTCTTCTTGTTCCTTTGCGGGTCAACAACAGATGACTTACGGAGTTGAGTGAAAAAGGTTGAAAGATTATATATATAAAGGTCGATCAATGTAGTATATATTATATTATTATATTATGTATGTACTATATATTGTTATATGTGTAAATATATACATCTGCAAACAAGCTAACCGTCAACTTCATTGAGGCTCAATCAAAGATCTCCGTGTTCCCACTGAATCCTTTTTATATATATACATGTATTATATACATATATTCTGAGTGCGTCCGCTATAGCTATAATCATTTGGCGGGAAGTGATCTATCCCAACAAGTTTTTCTTATTATAGTTTATATTTGATATGAATGTATTTCATACAAATCTTCTTCTTCAAAGCAACAACCGAAGATTCGAAGTGTTGTGCAAAAAAGGTTCAAATCTGTATATTGTTTAAATAGATCCTATCCCTCATAATCTCATCGCGTTGCCAGATTCAAGGGTAAATTTGTTCATTTTCTAAGAGTAGAGATGGCCTACGTTC